CATTTAGATACTTACAGTCCCAAAGCTGGGTGTCCAGTTAATTCTTTAGCAGGCACTTTCTCATATAGAGAGGCACATATATTATAATAAATACATCACTCTATAAAATAGCTCTACGTTTATATATAAAAATGTACATTTTTACATATAAAGTACTGGTACACATAATATATATATATCACAACACAAATATATATGTAGTATGTGTGTTTGCTTCAAGATAGGAATTCGAGCTCAGTAGTGGAGGAGACCAAGTATAATTTATCAAACGCAAGCATGGCAATGGCCCCCAATCGATGAGGCATCTCGAACTCTAGTGGTAATTACCTCGGCCTACTCAGTGTCCCCTAAAGGTCCTGAGACAAGGCCTTCAAGAGAAACACTGCTGTCAAGGTCTTATTTTCAAATGGAAAAATAAGACAGTGCCAGAGGCTGGCAAGAAGCTGGGGGGAGGGTGGAGATGAACAGAGGGGGCTCCTGCTCTCAGGTTCTCCAGCTTCGGGCTACTCTGCAGATTGGGCTGGGTGAGGGAGTTGGGGCATGATTCATTTGATTCACTGCTACATGCAACATAAATACCAAAAGGAAAAAAGAAACTGAAACTGCACAGAAAATAAAAGAAGAATCTCTTCTAGAGAAAGACAGGGGGACTGGACTCCGGGCTGCTGGGAACCGGTTTTACTCACAATAGATCACTACCAGTGTGCAGTTAAAATAGAGTAGGGGCCGCATTCCAAGGCAGCAAAGAGAAAAAAATAAATCGAAAATATGTCAATGATTAGAAGTTCAAGAAAATTCCTTCAAACACATCAATGTAGACATGACTTGTCCCCAAGGAGTCTGCCCTTTGGCAAACTTTCAGAGGCTGGGGGAGAAAACATCAATCATTAGACCAGGTTTGTTATACAGAAAGAAGAAATGGGTAAACAGATTCGGAGAGCTTGCTCCTTGGCCAGACGCTGAATGTGACCCTCTTCCTTGATGGAGAGCTATGAAGAAATGGAAAGAAATGCAAGAGTTAAACTATGCTGCCAGGCATGGAATGCCACACTCGCTATTTCTCCAGGTAGTATGACATGAAATGTTCAAAGTTACTGAGCTAACGTGAATGGAGAGGTAGAGGCGGGTGAATGGGGATGAGCTTGGGGGGGGAAGGAGGGTTGGGAAACTGTGAATGGGGACCAGTGGCTGTCACCAGCTCTGCTCTCGTGGCGTTGTATCACTCCAGGGTGAAATATTAATACCTGGCCTAACAGATTTGGACAAGTGGCTCTTTGGGACAGCTGCCCTCTCAACTTAGGGCATCGGGCAATGTGCATTCAATTCATTATTGACAATTCCAGCTCCTTCTAAGGAGAGTTTCTTTGCAACCAAAACTGAGCTTCCCCCAGCTCCTACCTTGCCCGGTCTGCCTCGTGTTTAATAGCTCATTTATTCTAACTACCACCTACATATACACACCCGCATCCTGCCCTCTGGAGCACAGGCTGCTGGGGCCTTTTAATCAGAAAGGACAGTATGTGGACAATTCTGATTGTTTCCCAACTTGAACCTCAGAGGAGCCCATGTGGGAAGGAGGGTGCAGAGGGAAGGGCGCGAGGCCCTGTCACACTGGCTTCGGTTGGAGAGGCATCTGTGCTGTGCGTGATGGGGGACCACACGCCCCGCTCGCTGAACCAAGGGGAATGGAAACGAACAGAATAAAATTATTTCAGACAATCGTGCGCCCCTCTGTCCAGGATGATGTTAAAGAACGCTGCTGTGTGCTTGCTTAGAAGGAAGGTGGAAAAATGTCCTAGGGGCCAAATCCTCATTTCTAGGGACTTAAAAATGCGTCTGCGGGGATCCACCACAGTGGCTGGG